CTAGATTCATTTTTTAATTCTGTATCTGCACTTTTAGTTATGAGTGCAGACACAGGAATAAGTACTCATTTTTCATTTTGAGATTTAAAAATGTAAATAAAAATGAAGAGTATATAGCTGAAGTCATGTTCTTTTGTGCCCTGGCATTGATTTTGCCAAATGTATTGTGTGTTGCAGGGAGCTGGAGCTGCCCTGAGACAACTGAAGTAGAAACCCTCACTACATCACTCGCACCTAATAACACACAAAAAAAAATCACAGAAGCCCTGTGCCCCATGGCCAAGCAAATTCTATTATTGTTTAATGATTAAGTACTCATTTTTCATTTAGAAAAAATGAGTACTTAATCCATTTCCCTTGCTATGGTTTTGTGTTCTTTCAACCAATACAATATTTTAATGTTCTTGCATTTTAAGTGAGTGTGTCTATACAATGTGTTTTCTTGTTGAAATATGTCTAAATGTATATGACTAATGTGTTTCTCATTGACTGAGAATAGTATTTTGAATTAGTAAGTACACCAAAAGTACTATAATTTACCCAGTAGATGGTGCTAATGCTATATAGACAAAGGACGAATACAATAGAGATATCTCACGTGACGTCACGATGCCTCGAACTCGCGGGGCATCCGCCATACTGGAGGACAAGCAAACGCTGTATGATAGTGGCGTGCACCCGGGACCGCATAAACATGTTCAAATCTTTTGCCGTTTTTGGCTGCAGCAAAAGGAGAGACAGGGAAAATAAGCTGTGTTACCGACTGCCAGCCGTCCTTACTTCACACGGCTCAAAAACAGAAGACATCTCAAAGAAACGAGAGAGAAATGGCACAACCATACGCAACAACAAAAAACTAATAGCCCCCAGAGCGCCCGAATATGCTCGGATCATTTCATTTCTGCTAAGTGAAATCAATTTGATGGCGGATTTAGTGTTATTCCGAAACAAACAGAAGTTTAAGGATAAAACATATCTGTCTGACTGCAACGTGGGGTTGCTCCATAGACTGTAGCTTAGCTTGTAGCAAAGCTGTTATATATTTGGTCTCACACAGGACCTCACCCGGTTCACAGGGTATCTGACTTACCGAAGGCCAGCAGACATGTGAACGACTGAGCCGTGCTCCAGGGTGCCCCGTACTAGTATTTATTAATAAAATATACGGCTCCTCACAGTAGACGCAGAAAGCTCCATTGATTTGAATGTAATCTCATTATTTCCACTGCAGTGTAGCCACACATAGATCCATGGTGTAACAATAAACACATTAAATGTTAATCGGAGAATACATTATACATATACATTCTTAATACACGTGCACAGAGGTTTTCAGAATGTTCTGTTCACGTTTTCATGAAAAAACACTGTTTTAATGCGACAATATGCGACCGCGGTAAACCTGGATGTAACGATAAACATTAATAATACATTTTAGGATGCATTTTCAGAGGATCTGATTCATGAATTTAGGTTGAGTATATATTTGGGTCACTAACTGCTGAAGTTTCAAATTCTCTGTTCAGTTTTCATGTAGTTCGAGAGAGTTCTAGTTTTGAACGTCCAGTTATAGATAGCTAGCAGGGCTGTTACTCGCCGAGGTTGTCCTCCAGTATGGCTGCCGTGGCTGCTAGTCACGTGACCGTAGGATCCCTCTATACTTACACGACGCCTTGCTAATGAACGAAGAGCCATTCTCCTCATCGCCTGTCTTCGCCTTCTCTCTGTTCGGCGGTGTTTAATTCGCATTATGATAACTTATTATACAGCTCCTCACAGCAGCAGGAGAACCATTGATTTGAATGTAATTTCAAAACGTTCTACCGGTCATTATTTTCTATAAGGGACCTCTCAAAACAATAATGACCGCTGCCCTTTGGCAACGCACTCTCTGCTTGTCTTTCAAATGCGTGGATAACTCCGCAAGTAGTTCCGGCCACTCCTGAGCTAGCCACGCTCAATCAACACACTTAAATGTTAATCGGAGAATACTTACACATATACATTCTTCACACACGTGCACGGAAATTTTCAGAATTTTCTGGTCTTGTCTTTATGACAAAAATACTATTTCTCTGCGTCAAAAAGCGATCGTGAAAAACCCGGAAGTAGTTCTGGCCGCTCAATAAACGCAAATGCCAATCAATCAACGCAATGAAATGTTAATCGGAGAGTAATTTATACATATCCAGTCTTAATACAAGTGCACGGAAGTTTTCAGAATTTTCCGTTCACGTTTTCATGACAAAAACACTGATGTAATGCGAGAAAAGGCGATCCCGAAAAACCCGGAAGTAGATACCGGCACATTTTAAGATACCGGCACATTTTCGGACACATTTGCAGAGGATCGAATTATGGATTTAGGTTAGGTTTATGTTTGAGTCACTCACCGCTGATGTTCAGAATTCTTTGTTCAGTTTTCATGCAGTTCCAGAGAGTTCTAGTTTGGAAGTTGCCAGCCTAACTGTTGCCCGCGGTTGCCGAGCAACGGGAAAACTTTTTGGGACTACTTTATTTGTTGTCATTAAATAAACTTTTGGCATTCATAAAAGTGATCTGAAGTTTATTTTGTGTGTTAAGTTGGTACAAAGCAGTATAATAAGCGGGATAATGTATAGCCTACAGATCATTATCGGAAAATAAGTACCTTCAGGGCGGAAGCAGACCCCTGCGCGTCGGGGTCCGCTTCGCCCTGTCGGTACTTATTTTCCGATAATGACCTGTAGGCTATACATTATCCCTTACTTGTATAATAGTTATGAAAAACACCGCAAAATTCAGTGGAGGTGCCATTTCACCGGTGTTAGAGGAGCCGGTCAGGTGGCGGGAATATGAAAGACGTCAACCAAAATTCATAAATATGAATATAAATTGTAAAAACATTTTATACATGTATATTAGACAAATATTGATATTTTAATATACTTTTATTTATATATAAAATTATATTGATCCAATGACATGTGACAGGGGTGTGATGTGGGCCGCGGCTAAAAATAGTGTGCAGCTGTCCGAATCGCCAACAGAATGAGTGCACTGACTCACTCACTCAGTCGCTATATAGTCCCGAACTATATAGTGAGTGAGTGAATAGGGTATAGTGTGGACATTCGGATACAGCCTAGGACCCAATCCCAACACCCACACTGCCCCCTACACTCCTCTACGAAGTGTGCATTTGTCTGAAGTGCACACAATGGTTTGAGTGGCAGGTTACAGCAGAAAAGGCAGAACGGGGACAGTGCACACTGAGTGCAGGTGACGTCATCGACGAGTCAGAGACGGTCATTTACAGACCTAAACTTTATAAACATTAAAGGTCATTTTGTTTCCCACAGGGTCGGACAAAATGTATAAACTTTAGGTCTGAAAATGACCGTCTCTGGACTCGTCGATGACGTCACCTGCACTCAGTGTGCACTGATTTTTTACTCCACACACGTTAAAATAAACGTATATTGGTTATTTGTAATTAGAGATAGCTGTATAATTTTAAGTTAAATGTGGATAACTAACTGTTATCTGGTCAGTTTTTATACATCCTAAGTTTGTTGTACTAAGTGTAAAGTTTAAATGGAATGTTTTATGAATGCTTGCTTTAAAAAGTTATTAAATTGTTTAAATAGAATGTCCGTAATTCTTCATCAGACGTTTATGCTTCTTTCCAAGTAACAGCTAAACTTATTTACACACAAACAGCATTTATCATTCAAAACTTACAATTGCTTGCTTGCAATCACGTGACGCATAAACTTCCGGTTGACGAAGTGGTGGTCAGGCCAGCAAGAGTTGCTGCTGATATATGAAGAAAATGCGACTCTTCCGAGTATTTTTTTGCTTTTTTGGATATTTCATGACACTTTGAAGCTACTGTGGTGAACGTTCTAACTCATCGTTCTAACAATATGCACAAGGCAGAATTTTTCCACTACATGTTTTGGTAATATCAAGGTTGAAGCTACTGGCACAGCGGTAAATGCTAATATGCTAATATGCTAATAAGTCTCCATTCCTCCGCTGTAAGTCACTTATATTCTGTAACGTCTGTGTTTATGCTGCCTCTACCATCGACAATAAAACATGTCTTCTGCCTGAATTAAAGACAAGATCCTAGACTGTCATTTTCTTCACTTTAGATTCTAATCCGCAGCTAGTGTTACAATCAAGCTTTTGCACTGCTAAACAAATGAAGGTTTGGATAAACACGGATACTGCAACTTTTCCGTTTGTCTGTGGGTTTAAGAACTAAGAGTTGAGGTCCTGAAGGACACATCCTGCATCGCACAGAGCCGTGTAAGTAACGATTGGTATGAACTTATCATTCTCAACAAAACACTGCGTCTGTGGCTGTGTTCTTTTCAGGTCAAACATTCACAGTGTTTTTTTAAAACGCCGACTCATACCTGACAATGAATGAAATAAAGATGGGGATGTAATAACTGAGCATTGTGACTCCATGGCTGGGTAAATAAATAATCCTTAGAGGTAAAAGCGTTTGCTAGTGAAATGTTAGCGAGCCACTTTTCCTGCGTGTCCTTAGTGCAAGGCTCTTTATTCATCTCTTTACAAGGAATCCTAAAGTATCCATTAAAGGTTTCACGATTCGATCGGTTAGAAAACTTAAAACAACACATGTAAAAGGTATATCCAGACATGCTGCTCTAGTGAACAACTAGCTCGGCTGACCACCACTTTGTGATAGCCAGATTTTCTTCCAGTCTATTTCCTCTATTAAGGAGTTCCAGAAACATTTACACCTAGGAGTGATTTGAATGAGGCGGACGTGACGTCAATTGCAAGCAAGCAATTAAATGCATTTTCCCGAAGGGTTGGTTTGTACCGCAAAGAATTATGGGCAATATCCTTCGCCAGAGTCCGCTTAGATGCAGGCTACGGCGAAGTGTGGATCAGGGGCGCAAAGGGGGCGGGGCCAAAGACCTCCCTGGAGAATTGGGACTGGACCCTACGCACTCGCACCCATCATCGGGAACGCACAAATGAGGGGCGCCAGGTTGGAAGTGCGAGTATTGGGACTGGACCTCTACCGGAGGACCAGGCCCAGTCAGACCTGGACTCTAGACCTGAGGACCAGTTCCAGTCTGGTTCTAGACCTGAGGACCAGTCCCAGTCTGACCTGGACTCTAGACCTGAGGACCAGTCCCAGTCTGGCTCTAGACCTGAGGACCAGTCCCAGTCTGACCTGGACTCTAGACTTGAGGACCAGTCCCAGTCTGGCTCTAGACTTGAGGACCAGTCCCAGTCTGACCTGGACTCTAGACCTGAGGACCAGTCCCAGTCTGGCTCTAGACCTGAGGACCAGTCCCAGTCTGACCTGGACTCTAGACCTGAGGACCAGTCCCAATCTGGCTCTAGACTTGAGGACCAGTCACAGTCTGACCCTGGACTCTAGACCTGAGGACCAGTCCCAGTCTGACCTGGACTCTAGACCTGAGGACCAGTCCCATTCTGGCTCTAGACCTGAGGACCAGTCCCAGTCTGACCCTGGACTCTAGACCTGAGGACTAGTCCCAGTCTCTCTCTCCCTCAGTGTGAAGACCCGCTCCTGGTGTCTTCAGTAGATTCTACATTCATGCTGTTTATTTACAAAGTGCCACAGAACCACAGTCTTTGATGAAGGACGAGACACAGAACTGTCTTAACAACATGGGTTCAAGTCTCACCTCTGATCTTCAGGACCATCTTCTCTGAACTCAGGAGGAGGGGAGTTGGACCGGTCACTTCTCATAGACACAGAGCTGGGAGCAGGTCCGGGTGTGGGTCTGGGTCCAGGTGTGGGTCTGGGTCCAGGTGTGGGTCCAGGTCCGGGTGTGGGTGTGGGTCTGGGTCCAGGTGTGGGTCCAGGTCCGGGTGTGGGGTTGGACTCAGAGCCAGATCCTCGTGGGTCCATGTTGTAGAGGCTGAATCAGAACAGAACAGAGAGAGTAGGACTGGGCCATGTGGCTGAAAATGTATCGAGTCATAAATGTTTCATTTCAGTCGATATCGATAAATATTGATTCATTTTAAACCTGTTCTAAATAAAGACCAGGAGAATAAAGTCTGAAGTGAAAAATTAGTATTTGAAACATAAGCTTTAGCCTTTAAAAGGAGGAGAACATGATGAAAAACAGATAAATAAACGAGTGAGATGTAAATGTAGTAAGTCTTCAGTAAAGAAGGAATCAGTGGAGAGCAGCTCAGGCTGAAGACCTGTAACAACACAGAACCAGCAGCTGTTTATCCTGCTGTGCTCCAGCAGGGGCTTCATGCTCGGCTGTGATTGGTCGAGAAGCCTCCGACTACATTCCCCAGAATGCCGTGCGGTTCTGACTCCGCTTTTCTTCCCATTTTTTCTAACGGAAATGATCGAACATTCTATCAACACATTTATTCTAAACATGTCCTAAATGTCCCTGAAGCTCTTGTCTCTGTGCTCCTGTCCCTGTGCTTCTGTCTCTGTGCTCCTGTCCCTGTGCTCCTGTCCCTGTGCTCCTGTCTCTGTGCTCCTGTCCCTGTGCTCCTGTCCCTGTGCTTCTGTCCCTGTGCTTCTGTCCCTGTGCTTCTGTCCCTGTGCTCCTGTCCCTGTGCTTCTGTCCCTGTGCTTCTGTCCCTGTGCTCCTGTCCCTGTGCTTCTGTCCCTGTGCTCCTGTCTCTGTGCTCCTGTCCCTGTGCTCCTGTCCCTGTGCTTCTGTCCCTGTGCTCCTGTCCCTGTGCTTCTGTCCCTGTGCTCCTGTCCCTGTGCTTCTGTCCCTGTGCTCCTGTCCCTGTGCTTCTGTCCCTGTGCTTCTGTCCCTGTGCTCTTATCCCTGTGCTCCTATCCCTGTGCTCCTGTCCCTGTGCTTCTGTCCCTGTGCTTCTGTCCCTGTGCTTCTGTCCCTGTGCTCCTGTCTCTGTGCTCCTGTCCCTGTGCTTCTGTCCCTGTGCTTCTGTCCCTGTGCTCCTGTCCCTGTGCTTCTGTCCCTGTGCTCCTGTCTCTGTGCTCCTGTCTCTGTGCACCTGTCCCTGTGCTCCTGTCCCTGTGCTTCTGTCCCTGTGCTCCTGTCCCTGTGCTTCTGTCCCTGTGCTCCTGTCCCTGTGCTTCTGTCCCTGTGCTCTTATCCCTGTGCTCCTGTCCCTGTGCTCCTATCCCTGTGCTCCTGTCCCTGTGCTTCTGTCCCTGTGCTCCTGTCCCTGTGCTCCTATCCCTGTGCTCCTGTCCCTGTGCTCCTGTCCCTGTGCTCCTGTCCCTGTGCTCCTGTCCCTGTGCTTCTGTCTCTGTGCTCCTGTCCCTGTGCTTCTGTCTCTTTGCTCCTGTCCCTGTGCTCCTGTCCCTGTGCTCCTGTCCCTGTGCTTCTGTCCCTGTGCTCCTGTCCCTGTGCTTCTGTCTCTGTGCTCCTGTCCCTGTGCTCCTGTCCCTGTGCTCCTGTCCCTGTGCTTCTGTCTCTGTGCTCCTGTCCCTGTGCTCCTGTCTCTGTGCTCCTGTCCCTGTGCTCCTGTCCCTGTGCTCCTGTCCCTGTGCTTCTGTCCCTGTGCTTCTGTCCCTGTGCTTCTGTCTCTTTGCTCCTGTCCCTGTGCTCCTGTCCCTGTGCTCCTGTCCCTGTGCTTCTGTCCCTGTGCTCCTGTCCCTGTGCTTCTGTCCCTGTGCTCCTGTCCCTGTGCTCCTGTCCCTGTGCTCCTGTCCCTGTGCTTCTGTCCCTGTGCTCCTGTCCCTGTGCTCCTGTCTCTGTGCTCCTGTCCCTGTGCTCCTGTCCCTGTGCTCCTGTCCCTGTGCTCCTGTCCCTGTGCTCCTGTCCCTGTGCTCCTGTCCCTGTGCTCCTGTCCCTGTGCTCCTGTCTCTGTGCTCCTGTCCCTGTGCTCCTGTCTCTGTGCTCCTGTCCCTGTGCTCCTGTCCCTGTGCTCCTGTCCCTGTGCTCCTGTCCCTGTGCTTCTGTCCCTGTGCTTCTGTCCCTGTGCTCCTATCCCTGTGCTCCTGTCCCTGTGCTCCTGTCCCTGTGCTTCTGTCCCTGTGCTTCAGTCAAAGTCCCTGTTGTGTGATTTTAATGTGGAGCGACAGAAACACAAGAATGAAGGACTTTTCAGGAGAAATACTCACTGCGTCAGCGTCGTCTCTCCACTGTCTGCTTTACTTTCACTTTTATTTTTATTTTTATTGGAGTCGTTGGCTTTTCTTGTTCATTACATACAGCAGTGAGTTCATAACATTTTTTACATCACTTAAAAATAGAGGAAAATACAGCGGTGATTTCAAAAATTTTTGCTTGTGAATAAAAAATGTACCAAACAGAATGAAAAAATTAACTACATAGTTAAATGACTTTGTGGTTGTGTTATCTTCAAAATAACAGATAATATCTTTAAGTGTAAAACAATGACTCGTTGGACAATTTTGGAAAATATAATTATTCAATTCAGCCCAAAATGTTTGAACAATGTTACAATAGAAACACAAGTGCTCGAGAGTTTCTTCCTGTGTTTGACAGAATGTACAGTTTTTATCAACATCTGCAAACCTTGAGACGACCGAGTTGACAGGGTAGATTTTATGAACAATCTTAAAATGAACTTCCTTCATTTTGTTTGTTATACAGTATTTATATGGCAATAGCCAGGTTTTCTTCCAGTCTATTTCCTCTATTAAGGAGTTCCAGAAACATTTACACCTAGGAGTGATTTTGTTATGACTTTGAAACATTTGGCGGATATGGTGATTATTACATTTTCTATCAAGTAAATTGATTCCATTTAAGGTGAGCACAATAGAGCTATCACCAATATCGTTGATGTTGTTAAAGGATAAATGGCATCTCATAAGATGGAGCAACTCTGGAGGGATGGCTCTGATCACAGAGTTGTATTCTCTGAAGGGGAGAGGGAATTCATACTTCACCATAAATTGTTCATATGGTAAAAAAGATCCTTGTTCATCCAATAGAGACACAATCGTGTTAATATTTTTTTGGAACCATTTGGGAAAAAACAAAGACCGATTTCTTATTGTAACATGTTCGTTGTTCCACAAGGAATATTTATGTGGAGAGAAATTATGATTGAAGCACAGTTTCCAAGCAAGAAGACATTGCTGGTGGAAATTAGCTAATGACACAGGAAGTTTTGTAGATGTATAATTACATGTTAAAAGAAAAGGTAGTCCACCAACTGACTCAAAAATATGATTGGGAATAAAGTACCAGATAGACCTAAAAATAGGGCGACAGTAGCTCAGTTGGTAGAGCATTGGCCTTAAGCCCAGAAGGTCGTGGGTTCAATTCCCACCTCTGCACCTTCTCCATCGACTCCCACTGATGACTGCTGTCGTTGTGTCCTTGGGCAAGACACTTAACCCCACTTTGCCCAAAAAGCTCCCACTGAAAGATCAAGGCTATGCTCACACTCAGAGAGCAGCTGTCCTCCTGTGGACTCACCACCTGCAGAGGGTCAGTGAGGGGCTGGTGCTATGAGACTTGGGTGGCATCTCTGACTGCCACCCCCCTGACCCAGAAATGGATTAAAGGGTAGAGGATGGATGGATGGATAGACTCTAAATTTGCAAGACATCTTTTTAGCCAGTTAATTCGGAATGTATTTACAGTGTCGGAAAACTCTAAAACTTCGAGCCCTCCTTCCACTTTTGCATTCGAGAGTACAGCCTTTTTGAGCTTATGAGGTTTGTTTTTCCAAATGAAATAAAAAAAAAGAGTGTTAATTTCTTTGGATATGCGTTCATCTACATATAGTGACAGTAGAGGATAAACAAAGCGAGACAGACCCTCTGCCTTAGACAGAAGAACTCTACCATACAAGGTTAAGTCTCTCTGAAGCCAGAGGTTAAAGATACTTTTGGTTTGAACAGTTCTATGATGGAAATTTAAATGTTGTCTAGTTGCCTTGTTTTTTGTAATTTGAATACCCAAATATTTAACAGACTGTTTGATTGGAATATTCTCTAGAAATAGATCTTCACAACTATGAATTGGCAACAGCTCACATTTGGATACATTGAGTTTCAAGCCTGAGGCCTTAGTGAATTCTTCAATTAATGAAATTGCCTTCTGCATCTGATTTTATCTTTCAGAAAAAGAGCTGTGTCATCCGCAAGTTGTGAAATTCGTATTTCTCTATCGAAAATCGAAATACCTGTCAGTTCCGGGCTACTGATAATATTTATAGATAACAATTCCACTACTAAAACAAAAATGAAAGGACTTATCGGACATCCTTGTCTTAAGCCTAGTTTATACTCGCGCGGCGCGGAGCTTACGGAGGTGACGTGACGTCACTTGCGCAACGCGTTGGTCACCGCAAGGCCCTTACGTTGCCTGTCCTGCAGCATCGAAATGTTCTAACTACGTATGGGTCGCCGCAAGGAATCTCCGCTGTGATTGGTCCGTGTGTGTGTATTGGAAGGTAGCACGGAGCGGCTGCAGCAGGAGCATGGACGAGGCACTATGGAGCAGAGAGCTTTGTGCTTCGAAGGAAAAGCAGTTTGGGCTCAGAGCCTGATATACAGTACAGGAGACTGTGGACTATCTAATATATATATAACATATATCTAACTTATATCTAACATATATATAACTTATAAACTGTGCAGTCGTTTGTTTTGCACTGTTCCTGTCTTTGTTTGAATCGTAGCTGCGTTTGTTGCTTTCCTCCTGCACTCGTAAATCGTTCATGTTTGTCTCAGATATTTACCACTATTATTGTTTTGCTGTTTGTGCTGAAAACTATTTAATAATAACTATGTTTCCAACAAGAACTGTGCCTTTATTCACAGCATCACAGTTGAAATGACTTATAAAATAATGAATCCATAAAACTCTCACATAAACCTACAGTAGAAACATGTGTAATGAGCTCAAACAGCTTTGTTTGTTATTGTTGTTCTGAAGAGGACAAAGTAGCAGCGTAAATGGGACCGCTCCTGTGTAATCGCCCTCATGTGGTTTGTTGTGGGATTACAACATTCTCCTCAAAAGTCCGTAAGGGGAACGCGCCAGTATAACATCAATTGTGCTTACGTAGGTCCACCGCAACCGCTAACGTAAGCCACGCCGCGCAAGTATACTCTAGGCTTCACACCACGTGTTATATCAAACCTTTTTGTAGTGGTGTAATTAACAATAACAGAGCTATTGATACCATTGTAAAACATATCAACCATATGTGTAAAAGATTTTCCAAATTGAAATAACTGAAGACATTCTTGAATAAATTTGTGTTCAATAGTATCAAAAGCCTTGTAGAAATCCACAAACAAGATAAATGCGTCAGAGTGCACCATGTCAGAATAATCCAATAAATCCAAAACCAAGCGGACATTATTACTAATGTGGCGACCTTTGATAAAACCACATTGAGTCTCTGCTATAATTTTGTTTAGATCTTTTTTCAGTCTATTGGCATAAACAAGGGATAATATTTTATAGTCTGTTGTTAGAAGAGTGATGGGCCTCCAATTTTCTATCAGCAAAGTGTCTTTATCCGCTTTTGGGATGAGTGAAATAACACCCTGTTTCATTGTTGGAGTCATTTCTCCTTCCTCTATGCACTGTTTGTACATATCAAATAGGGGATCTTTAAGAGTCTCCCAAAAGTGTAAGAAGAATTCAACTGACAGACCATCAATTCCTGGAGTTTTGCACTTTTTCATTGAAAACAAAGCTTCTTTAATTTCAATTAGAGTCAAATCAGAATCACACAATTCTTTAAAACTATCATCTACTACTGGACAATATTGTCTTATTTTACTAAGAAATTCTATGCAAGCTTTTGAATCAAATTCAGAAGTGTATAAATTACTATAAAATGAGGCCACGTGATTAGAAATAATTTTTGCATCTGTGGTTATTGTATCATTAAACTTGAGAGAAGTCAAAGATTTTTGTTTGCCGTTTCTTTTTTCAAGAGCAAAAAAGTAAGAGGAGTTGGTCTCCCCTTCTTCGATCCATTTAGCTCTGGACCGAATATAGGCACCTTTGGCTAAGTCTAAATAAAACTGATCCAGTTTTGTTTGCATTTCTTTTAATTCAACCTGTTCCAGTTCAGACATAACATTTTTAGAAAGGAGATCATTTATTCTCTCAATTAAATCCATCTCATTTAGTTTTTTTTGTTTTTTAAGATTTTTACTTCTTTGTATTGCAACAGCCCTCAGTTTATATTTAAAATATTCCCACTTTTGCTTGTGATTACCATTCTCAGTGTCTAAGAATATTTCATTTATTAGCCTTATAACCTTTTCATTGAACTCCTCATCCTGCAAAAGGGTATTATTGAATTTCCAATATCCTCTTAGTTTGGACTGGTGTAATTCACCACACAGTTCAAGTGAAATTTGCATATGATCTGATAAAGAAGCAGAAGAATGCAAAACCTCTTTGAGAAGATAAAGGCTCGATGACGAAATCAAAAACAGGTCAATTCTGGATCTTAAAGATAAACTTCTATTAGACCAAGTAAAATCCTTTTTATCAGGGTATAAGAAGCGCCAGGCATCAGTGAGTGATAAATCCAAACATAGTTTTGTTATGTTATTGCTCTGAAGTGCTTGAACAGTTTTAGGTGGGAATCTGTCTTTTGTTTCATCTGCACATTCATTAAAATCACCACATAAAATAATCTGAGAGTTTGCATATTTTTGTAGCAACTCGTTAAGTTTGAATGATATTTGGGAGAAGAGTGAGTTGTTATGTGAATGTATATTATGTCCATATACAGTGCCTTGCGAAAGTATTCGGCCCCCTTGAACCTTTCAACATTTTGCCACATTTCAGTCTTCAAACATAAAGATATAAAATTTTAATTTTTTGTCATGAATCAACAACAAGTGGGACACAATCGTGAAGTGGAACGAAATTTATTGGATAATTTAAACTTTTAAAAAAAATTAAAAACTGAAAAGTGGGGCGTGCAATATTATTCGGCCCCTTTACTTTCAGTGCAGCAAACTCAGTCCAGAAGTTCAGTGAGGATCTTTGAATGATCCAATGTTGTCCTAAATGACTGATGATGATAAATAGAATGCACCTGTGTGT